CCCCCCTTCGCTTCGCCTCTCTCATCCCCCCCCCCTCCCCCCCCGTCAAGCTTACTTTCCATTTCCGTTCGTCAGTTCGATCGATGCGAAGTATTCGTGCGTGAATGCTCGCTTTTTTCGGATTTACCGAGTATTCGATTTCAGTCGCGTTAATCGAGCGCTCGATTCGCGCGTTGGAGCAGCACGTGTTATGTCCGGATACAACGAGGAGAGTTCAAGGTGCGCGAAAGAGAGAGAGAGAGAGAGAAGAGAAAAACCATTTTCTCGCGCGGCGCGAAGCGATGTGAAGAACGAAATTTGTCCTCGTTGGGGATCGACGCATAAATGACAATATGAAGCCGCCGTTATTAGCTCAACGAGATTCAATTTCTCTCATGACAAGCGGAAAAGTGAGTTTCTCTCGCGGGGGACAATTCGCGTTCGTGTTTCGACGCAACATTCGGCGGTTCTGCGAACCCCCCTCCTCCCCCCGCGCGTTTCGTCTGAACTTGAGCGCGCGCGCGGAGACGATCGTTGCGAGACATTGTGACATCTCGACACCGACGCTTCGAGATTTCGTACACACGTATGCTTCCCCGATACTGTGAGAGAAAGAAAAAGGCAGTATATACACGTATACATACACATACATATATATCTATCTGTATAAAACTCGTCGTATGTTAATGCCTTAGCGAGCACAGCTCTTCCTCGTGAAACTGTGTGCGACACAAGGTGCGCTCATCGCGTGAAACCCCGTCGTAATCGGGCGAACGCGTTTCTCGCGGGCTGCGTCCCGATTGTTGCGCTCGTGATGCTCCCGCAACGTCGAGGCTGCGTTCGGAAACACGAAACCCGATGGTAGAGCAGGATGGAGCGAAGAGAATGGGAGGGGGACAGGGTTTCATTCCGAGCGCGGACTAGCGCGATAATTGCCGGCGAATGATCGGGCTGATGCGAAAGTTCGTTCCATTTTTCAATTGATCCTTCGCTCGTGGAAACCCCAGCATTTCCGCGAGATGCATGCCGAAGAGACAGCTGGTCGTCGAACAAAACCGATGCATACTTAATTGATTGTACGTTTTAAAAGTAAATAAATGTTATGTGTACATTGTTTTGATTGAAATTGGAACGAACTTTCGTGTCAAGCCAGTGCTTGTCACAGATATTATGAAAGATAGAAAATCTCGATCTCTGAGGATCTGCCTGGTTATCTTTCGTCAATACATATCTCATGTCTTTCCTTGGATAATTTTGCGAAAACGCTCCATTGTCACATATTTAAAATATTTCAAACGCAACAAGCCACCAGCGCCCGCTCTGAAGTTTCAGAACGGTGGCAAATTTTCCTCCCGATGCGCACCCAGTTTCCGAACGACACCACCGGTTTTTTTTCTCACTAGTAGAATGCCGTCCTATATAAAACGGAAAAGCGAAATAGAAAAGATACAGTAGGGAGTAACCAATCGGAACAATTGTCAGAAATTCGAACAGATTTCGAACAATACGTATGTCCAGAAGACGTCTCAAGGAAGTCTTTCGGTCGTCTCATCTGAAAGACATCTTTAAGACTTGGTATTATTTGCAATTGTATACTCAGACCACCATAACTTCCCGGGAGAAAATGATTACATGTGAATTTTGTCTCTGTAAATTGATTTTATTCTTATTGAATGTAATGAAAAGCATTTGATTTTTCACTTTTACCGATTTCGTAAAACCGTGGCCTCTGGAAATTGGAATGGAACGACGAACGATTGGTTTACCTCCTTTTCTATTTCTTCTCCGTTTTTTACGTCCTACACGGGACAGCAACCGCCGATCATAGTTCCAACGTTTCTGAACCCTGCGAATTTCGATGGGCGCACTTAGACGAAGTTTCCGAACGCAGCCTCATTCTTCGCGGTCGACACGTGGACACAATGTACGAGAGTAGTCCCTCCCTACCACGTGAGGGGCGCAGCAGCGAGATCCTTCGACCGAAGCCGACGTCCGTGCTATATACGACGATTTTTCCGTATTCCGAGGTCGTAAGTTAGCGTAAAAGTGCCTACAAGTACGATCGATTCGTGAGAATATTCCACTTATGTGATCCCACGTACGTACGAGGAAAGTGTTTTTCGTTTGGTTTCTCCTTTCTTCCCCCTCTTCCCCCTCTCGATCGTTTCTCTCTTTCGTTTTTTCCGCGGATATATAACGTATGTAACATTGTGTCATGTTCGATCACGAGAGGATTGAGTCTGCTCGACGCCCCGCCAAACCGGGCCTCAGCAACTAAAGACTGACCAAGACCTGCATTACACTAAATTCTTGTAAGATCGCTGCATTAAATATATATATATGTACATACCATGTCTATATAGTTGTAACTTTAACGAAGAATTTATTCGCGAAATAAATTATATTTACCATATAGCCCCGACTTTCTTGCGCCGTTTTACCATTTTATGCGTGTGGAATCTGTGTGTACACTATATCCGTGTACGGGAAGGAGTCTCAGTTCGTGTGTCACTGAATCACGACAGACGGTGAAAAATGTTGTGTGTTAAATTTAACACGTTTCACACGTCCCGGTCTATTTTAATTTTTGGGTTAATTTAACGCAAGGTGAATATGTTGAAAAGTAACACAGATATTGTCGGAAATGAATACATTACAAAATTAATACGTTACTTGACACTGAAGTATAAAATGTGTTGTTTTAACATTTATGCATGTCGAATATCGATACGACGCAAAATGTTGAGATAACATAAACACGATATTGTCAGATCAACACACAGGTATGTTGAAAATTTCACACAAAAATGTCAACAAAGACCGAATTTAATACGAGGTACAAAATGTTTCTTCCGCGTGGTAGCGAACGTGTCACAACATTTAAACTTTGCCTGCGTAAAATTCTATTCCGCCGCCAATTATAGCGCCAAAATTTAACACGAAAATTTTCACACAAGTATAAAATGTTTCTCACCGTGTGACGTCAAAATCACGAGGAAACGATCGAGTCGTGATCGAGAAGTTTCCATAGTCTTCCCCTCGTCATTGCGACGTCATCGTGATTTTCTGTTCCGTCTGGAAACCTCTTCTAGGAATTCTTCTGCTCCTACAACCGAGTTTTCGTCCGATTTCCAGGAACCAGCGGAACATTCAATCGCGCTAATAGAGCTGTTCCTTTCGAGAATAAGATCGGCTGAATTGACACGACACGAATAGAATAAACCAACCTGGCGCGTTTTCGTTGAAGGTTCTTATGGATTTTCTGATCCTCGCGAATTAAATTCGCTCCTCAGGATCGGAAATTCTCTTTCCCTCAAGCTGGACACGGTTGGACTCATCGTCCCGCTGATTCAACCGATCTCTGCACCCCCGCGTGTGCGTGGGAAAGCAAAAGACGGAGATTGAGAGGGAAGAAATTGTCGAGCGGAGGTGCAATTAAAGATTTTTTTTATTACATCAACATAATACTGGCTAAGGGTCGAAAACAATCGTAGAACGCGTCTAGGGCGCGAGCGGCGAGGGAGGGAGAGAGCGCCGAGATTAACGGTGGGCGACTCGCTGGACGACTCACAATGCCCTCCCCCGAAGTAGGGAGGAGGGTATATAGTCGGCGACTCGCTGGATGGAGAGGGGAGCGTAGTAGTCTCTAATGATCCCTAACTACGGAGATGTAAGTATTATACCTTATAAGTAATAAAACTAATCGCGCGCGCGAGGCAACCAAGTCTCGGAACAAATCAACCTTAACGAGCCCTTCGAAAAGAAGAATCGATCGCGAGAGGTCATTAGGGAGGGGGGACGCGAGTCGGCGGCGCTCGTCCCCGTGTGTGTGTGTATATGTGTGTATATATGCGTGTGTGTGCGTGTGTGGGTCGACGCGTCAGCCCGGCGTCGCTCCGCGGCGTGCAGCCGCCGAAACGTCCGCTTTGCCGCGCGTTCGTTTGTCCATCCCGACAACGACCGGTCGGAGGATCCGAGGTTGGGAATCCCACATCGGAACTCGACCAGATCGGGACGCACTCCGACGGGTGCGACGGGCCGCCGCCTCGCTCCCTCGCGAGAGCGACGAGAGGATCCGGAAACGTGCTGGCGGTGGTCTTCGAGACCGCAGCGATCCGTTTGTCATCGTCGTCGTCGTCGATGCTCGGTTGTTGTTGTTGTTGTTGTTGTTTGTATCAATTGAAAAACCTAACTACATACACAGAGAGTTCAAGAGAACTTAGTACTTCTTGCTTATTGTTTTTTTTCTTTTTTTTTCTCGTGTTATCGTATGTGGTTCTTTTTTCCGGTTTTTTTCCCCCTTTTTCTCCCGTTTTTTGCTCTTTCGATAACGACTTTTGGTTTTTGTTTCTTGTGGTTTTTTTGCTTTTGTTTTTGACCTCTTGATAATCAATCGGACACATATCGTATCAATACTCGTAGTAATTAATGGATTGCGAGTAAAACGCGCGGGCAACGCTTCCTCCTAGCATATGTGAGGCGTGCGCGGGGCGTGGGTGAACTGAATGTGCAGGTTCGGATAGATGCGCGGGTTCAACACTACCGGGTAATGTAACGGGGGTAAGCACAACATCTTATGACTTTTGGTATTAGTCGAGTATGAATCGAGTGGAGCAGCCGCGGCGTGCTGCGTCCTGACGGTGGTGGCGGTGGTGGTGGTGGTGGGTCCATGCGCGGGGACGCCTGCGGGGCACCGGCCGGCGGACTGCGAGCTTCCGAGGAAGCTTGATGGTTACTTTTTCTTCTGGGCTTTCTCCGCGGCCTTTGTTACCTTGCCCTGGGTGTCTTTGAAGGTGACGCTCTGCGGCACGAGAGATCGGGATTCGTTCAGTGCGTATTGTCGTTTTACTGCTGTATATAACAACAACAACAACAATAATAATAATAATTTATTATTATTATTATTATTGTATATTATTATTATTGTTATTATTATATATTATACTATATATATATAGTAGTTTAAATGAATGTGAGAAAAAAGTCTTCTGCCATTTTGCAAGCCACACGAAATTTTGAGTAGTTAATTATGGAAAACGGCCATGTATAGGCTTCTTTAATTAATAATCCACAGAGCACAGATCTCTTTGGGACGTGCTGAGGATATCCCGAGAGGGATATCATGTGCTGTCCAGGTACTCGTACGCCATTGAACAAAAAAGTCCTTTATCATTTTGCGAATAACTTTTTTAGTTATTAATTAAAGAAACTCCTATGGCTTCATGGCTCCATTTTCCATAATTAATAACTCAGAATTTTGCGTGATTGTTCGCAAAATGGTAGAAGACTTTTCGTTTACACTGGCCTGAAGTTTTCTCGGTCCTAAACTGTAAGTATACGACGGATATTCTTAGTGACAGGAAAATCGCGTATAGTAAATATGCAATCATATATAGGGCGTGTTACATGACATACTGTACAAACTTCAGCAATACGTTTCTGATGTAAATTGAAGACGTCCTGTAAGTACAGGTCCATTTCGAAATGGTTATTCATCTAGAAAGGTTCACAGGTCACAAATGATAATACAATTTTCTAGAAAATAAGAAAGAAAACGATAAAGATAAAAGTTTAATGTACGGAAGGAAAATTAATACTCAAGTTGAACTAATATAGCGTGTTAATGATGTGTATGAATAAATGAGGAACAATCGTGATGTTCGTGTAGCCGCTCAATCCGTATTAGATCGCACGTACTATGTATTAATGTCGATGGACATCAATCTGAATAATTTATATAATCTGGTAATTTCTTTCTTATTTTCCATTTTAAACAAAAAATATGTACCAAAAAATTATACACACACACTTTTTCTCTCTCTCTCTCTCTCTCTCTCCTGTTATCACATTTATAAACTTTAAACTTTACAGATGAATAACTGTTTCGAACGTTTACCCAACATTTTCTATTTCAACTTATATGCAGAAACATGGTCCTTAAATTTGTATAGCATGTCATATAACATCTTGCATAATAAAATGCGCCTAGGCGCGAAAGAAGGTATTCGTTGCGTTCAGTAGAAATTGGCGTTTTGGAACGCATAAGGCTCCTTGTCCTTAACTGCAACATCTTGTTTGATAACGTCAGAGACGAGAAAACTCACGCCCAAAATTCTTGTGAAATGTGTTGAATTAAAAAGATATGTCCATAAAGTGATACTTGCAATCAATTGAGCACATTTGTACAGAGTGTTGCATTACATACAAAGCAGTGTGCAATTGCTGCTACACGGATACGTGAGTGAAAGAGAGAGATTTATCGACGCATCGACGTCGATTCGATTTTTCATTTCTGACTGGGACTGCTCTGTATGTAAGTGCAACATCCTCTACAATATTCCGAAAACTTGTTTTTTGCTTTAGTCATTGACAAATAATCGTAAAATTAACATAAAACGCAATCTTCCCTTTTAGGTTATCTTTCTTTATGATTTTGATATTATCTTTACAGCTATTTATTGAGGTAAAGGGAAACTTTTCGAAGCGTCAATGTGTTCTGCGAAAATGTTGGGCATACGTTTGCTCGCTCCTCATGTCATTAGTTAAGACGTCTGCGGTGGAAAAATGGGAACTTTAAGGGCGCCGCTATAATGGACAGACTACTATGGCACCACAGACAGCCTACATCACTAAAACGGGGCAATGAGAATTTAAGTTCTAAGCCCTTAAGAAACTGACCAATCATAGTCAATTGTTCTCATCACATTCGACTGTGATTGGTCAATCTTTTAAAGCGTAGAGCTTAAATTCTCATTGCAGGCCTCGCTTAACTGGCACTTGCCCATACGAGCCCGTTCACACAAGCGACTTCGTATAGACTTCTCTGTGGCGCCACAAAGTAGTTTGTTTATACGAACCCTTATGATTATTATTTATAATTCGAGTCCTTTTACATATTCCATAGATCCAGAAGAATACACCAATTGAAGGCAATAATCATGAATCCTTTGCGTCCCGGTTTTTTATTTCGGAAATTAGTATTACTTTAATAAAGGGATATCAATTAATTATATAGTGTTTCTCAAATATTTGATTTGAAAAATGGTTTCAAAAACAAGAGAAAATGTTCAAAACTTCATTATAATAAATTAGAAGTATTGATGAAAATTCAGCTTTTTCTTCAAGTAAACTATAATAAATATAATTAGATCGCGCTTCAAAGGTGCTCTATTAAACGATAAATGGCTGAATCAAAATATATTTTAGAAATATTATGTGCCATATCCTTAAAGATACGCCGAGAGTCAAAGAGTTGGGCGCTTATTTCTGCTGAACGCAGCCGTTCGTCGCGAGAACGTCAAAGAAGCGGAATTCTTCGCTCGAAAACGGCGTTTGCATGCCGAAACGAAGTTCATCGTGATAATTTATCACAAAGTTAGTTGTCCTCGCCAGAACTTGGCTGCTTACCAATCGCCAGTATGGAATAAATAGAACGTCGACGAAATTTTGACGGCCTGCCATTGCGATGCGATCGTCGCGTGGTGCGTGCGAAGTATCAGGAATATGTGTGACGATACTGCATTTTACATGAAAATATCCGGCTTAAAAATATCTCGTTTGGAAAGGGTTGCTTCAAGCGAAGGCCTGCGAGAGCCGAGAGGAAGTTCATAATTTGCGAATTGTATGTCAGATGCGAACTCACGAAGCGCATCGCGCGAAATTTTCGAGTGTGGTCTGCTCTTGTTTTAAAAGGTCGAGGCAACGAATTTTTAGACGAACTTCGACTTTTTTTGTTTAAGTTAGGCTTGTGAATATAAGATTTGGTTTGTATATATATGTGTGTGTGTGTAATTTTTTTAATAACATTTATGAATTTTGTAGATTTCTCCATATTTCACATAATTTAAATGTTACAAGTCATCTTTCGTACAATCTGGCTTGTGTAATATGAAATATAGAGATCTATGTGCAAGAATATATGTAATAGTTAAAAAAATCAAAGTTCGTCTGAAAATTTTGTCGTTTAAAAAATATCCCCTCCAGATTCCTCGCTGCAATTATCTTGTTTGACGACGTCAGAAGTAAGAAAACATATGCTCAAAATTCTCGCGAAATACGTTGAAAAATAAAAGGATACGTCCATAAAATGATAATTGTGATCGATTAAATACATTTGTCAGATATCTCGAAAACTTTTGCTATCTAATGCAATCAACATATAATAAATAACCGTAATATTAACATAACACACAATCTTCCCTTTTAGCCAACTTCTCTTCATGATTTTGTCATGTGAATTTTACGATTTTTTGTCGATTGTTAAAGTAGAAGAAAAGTGTCGGGAATATCTTACAAATATACTCAATCGGTCGCTCAAGTATCGCTTTATGGACAGACATTTTTTTTTATTTTAATATTAACATAACATGCAATCTTCTCTTTTAGCCAGTTTCTCTTCATGATTTTGTCATGTGAATTTCACGATTTTTTGTCGATTGTTAAAGTAGAAGAAAAGTGTCCGGAATATCTTACAAATGTACTCAATCGGTCGCACAAATATCGCTTAATGGGCATATATTTTATCATTTTAACGTATTCCACAAGAATGTCGGAATACATTTTCTCGCTTGATTCGTCATCAGTCAAGATGGCTACGACGAGGAGGTCAAACTCGCCGGATAAAGATTGATTCTCCCCGCGGTATACCTTGATAACACCCACGGCGACGGTCTGACGCATGTCGCGGACCGCGAAGCGGCCCAAGGGCGGAAACTCCTGGAAGGCTTCGACGCACATCGGCTTGGTCGGCTGCAGCATCACGATGGCGGCGTCGCCGCTCTTGATGCTCTTCGGGTTCTCCTCGGTGGTCTTGCCGGTACGGCGGTCGCACTTCTCCTTGATCTCCGCGAACTTGCAGGCAATGTGGGCGGTGTGGCAGTCGAGCACCGGCGTATAGCCGTTGCTGATCTGTCCCGGGTGATTCAGCACGATCACCTGGGCGGTGAAGTCGGCGGCGCCGCGGGGCGGCTGATTCTTCGAGTCGCCGGCCACGTAGCCGCGCCTCAGTTCCTTCACGGAGATGTTTTTCACGTTGAAGCCAACGTTGTCGCCCGGCAGGGCCTCCGTCAGTGCCTCGTGATGCATCTCGACCGACTTCACCTCGGTCGTGAGGGCGGCCGGCGCGAATGTCACCAACATACCTTGAACGTGCGATTGCGGATTACGATTACGAGTCGCGAGCTCGCGATCTAAGGTCTGTGTTACATACACTTAAGGGCCGTCTGTAAACGTAAAATCTCCAGCCGTAAAGTATGCGGTAAGTATAACGTAAGCAGCGAGTTAATTGACCAATTGAATTTTTATAGTCCAAGTATAATTGACTGTGGTCGGTCTATTAGTTTGTTGTTTATGTTTTACTGTATATTATGTATATGTAGAGCTACCGCAGACGGTCCTTCAGATTGTTTGGCTAGTTTCAAATGTAAAGCCGTACGAGGCCCAAAGTCGCAACGGACGCGGTCGTATATACAAAAAAATCAGAATACAAAGTAAACTGTGTGTCCAATGAAGGATATATCTATATGCTTCATACGTTATCTAATATACATTTTCTTTAGAAATTGAGATTTAATAACAATTACAATTATGCATTGCTTCCCAAAATATTAAAAAAAAAAAAATATATATATATATATAAGTTGGATCATTTCATAATAAATGCATGATGTTAATTTTTTGCATTAGTACATATTGCACAAATGAAATTTGTACAGTATTTTTACATATTGTACAAATGGAATTTTATCATTTCCACTCAATATCATTAGCAATTGTTAAAATTATTCCTATTTCAGTTATTAAAACCATATATGGGTGACGTAGCAGTCTAAGTGGTAGTGGTTGCTTGAAGCTTACTTCACGTGAAATAGTCGGGTTTAAATTTAAAGTGTTAGATATGACTTTTTCAGTTGAATCATATAATATATATATGATATTGTATCAATAAATGTGATAACTAAAAAATTCGCAGGAAGGCAAATAATTGAGGGAAACGGCAGATTTTATACTGTTGTAGGAAATAAATATGGATACAAATGATTATAAGAATGCTTTTTAAGTCCAGTTCAGTATTTCAAGAGTTGATTTTTGAAGTCATTTTATAAAAAAAGAGTTCATATGAACATATGCAGAATTCTTCATAAGATGATTTCAAAAAGCAATTCCTAATATATTAAACGGTACTTCAGAAACATCCTGTATACTTATTTATTTGCTACGACAGCGTAAAGTTACTTACGTTAGTAACGTTAAAGTTACTTAAGAAGTCTACACAAATTTTATTGGGAATTCTCGTTGAATGATATTTGTTAAGTGTGTTGAAGTCGTTGAAGTGAAATTTGTCGAATATGTGTTCCGTTCTAATGGTAAAAATCAATACTGGTATCGTGCGATTCGCAAACTCATACTAGAAAAAAAAGATAAAATTTATATTACAATTAATTTATATATATAACAAATCCGTAATATATAAATTGTATTATATATATATATATATTCTAATTTAATATTTTACACGAATATATGTTTTTCTAATTCAATGGTAAAATAAAATCTTTTTATCACAAGAGTATTGTTCCACACCAGAAAGGAGATTATTACAATGCTTTTTAGTCTACATGGAGAAAAAATTAATATAATTTTAAGACTCATATTCTCATATGTAAGCAAGAATATATAATCTTGTATAAAAATAAATCTTGCTTACACACACACACACACAAATATTCAATATAGTTCTACTAGAAATATATTCTTGTTATTCAAGAATAATTTTTATAAATTGAAATGAATAAATATTGGATAAAAAATAATATTTCCAAACATTGATACAATTCTTGATTCGAAGATATCGTTAATTCTATCCAATATTTTCTCCTCTCAATTCATGAAAATTATCCTCGAATAACACGATCTATTTTTAGTGGAACTATATAGAATTTCTTCATGTAAGATCATGTTTTATCTTCACATAAGACTATATACTTTTGCTTGTACAGGGTGAGGCAATAACTATTACCATTTTGTATATCTTTGAAAACTAAAAGACATTTTATTCACGACCAGACGAGAATGAAAAAAGTTTCTATTTACGAAAGGTGTTCGAAGTGATAAACATTAATAACAACGTAACTTTTTAAATAAATTTTCCTCTTACTCTCATTGTTTCGAAGATATTCAAAGCAATAACAGTCATTGCCTCCCCCCGCGCATAGGAATATGAATTTGGAATTTCCACTAATTCCTTGGCGTACGAATACGACTACTTTGTGCAAAGATTACCTCTCCTCGCAAACCTCTCGCGATTTTTCGTATCTCCTTCGGCCCAAAAGCGAGCTCAACGACCACCACAATCGACATATAATCACCTGGCTTCAGAATACCGGTCTCCACACGACCGACCGGCACGGTACCGATCCCGCCGATCTTGTAGACATCCTGAAGAGGCAGCCGCAGGGCCTTGTCGGTGGGCCTGGACGGCGGCAGTATGGCGTCGAGCGCCTCGATCAGCGTCTTGCCGTCGGCGTTGCCGTCCTTGCGTTCTACCTTCCAGCCCTTGTACCAGGGCGTCTTCGGGGACGGCTCGAGCATGTTGTCGCCGTGCCAGCCGGAGATCGGCACGAAGGCGACCGAGGCGGTGTTGTAGCCGATCTTCTTGATGTACGACGACACCTCTTTCTTAATCTCCTCGAAGCGGGTCTCCGAATACGGCGGGTCGGTCATGTCCATCTTATTGACGCCGACGATCAGCTGTTTCACGCCCAACGTGAAGGCGAGCAGTGCGTGTTCGCGGGTCTGACCGTTCTTCGAGATGCCGGCCTCGAACTCGCCGATGCCGGCCGCGACGATCAGCACCGCGCAGTCCGCCTGGCTCGTGCCGGTGATCATGTTCTTGATGAAGTCACGATGCCCGGGCGCGTCGATGATGGTCACGTAGTACTTGGCCGTCTCGAACTTCCACAGGGCGATGTCGATGGTGATGCCGCGCTCACGCTCCGCCTTCAGCTTGTCCAACACCCAGGCGTACTTGAACGAGCCCTTGCCCATCTCCTGCGCCTCCTTCTCGAACTTCTCGATCGTCCGCTTGTCGATACCGCCACATTTGTAAATAAGGTGGCCGGTCGTCGTGGACTTGCCCGAGTCCACGTGGCCGATCACCACGATGTTTATGTGGATCTTCTCCTTACCCATTGTCGAGGCGACTCTCTAGCTACCTGCCGAGACAGAATTAGTCGTGGAGGGGTATTCCAGAGAGCATTTCGAGCTGATGATCGAAACGGGCGCGCCGGGGAGATAGTTTTCCGTGTCTTTAACGATTATCGCATTCGGTGAAAGAATTATTGCCGGGAGAAGCATTTTTCTAGCAAGTATTGCCACAGTGTTAATATAATAACTAGTGTTGTCAATGTAATCCGGATATTTCGATACTCGAGTAATATCCAGGTTTTGGTATCCGAGTCTTTCGGGGTTATCAGAGTATTTGTGAATAAAGGATAAAACGGGGTAATGACGGTCACCTAGCGGAAACTCTTGTAAAATTGGTAAGAAAATTGGTCGGAATTAGAATCTGTTTAATGCGATGGGTACCTACAGGTGTTTACTGTAATATAAACTAGCGCAAAAAATTCCATAAAAATATGTACCAGAAAGACAAATGAAACGTACTGACCACAGTCGGTATAAAGAGGTGACCAGAATCACCCACTGATCGGTATTATTCCATTTACTCTATTTATATTCACGGATATTTTTTGTCTAGCAACCACACACTAAGAGAAATTAGTTCGATCTAAATTATATCTTTCTTATGGTTTTAACCACAAATAGTAATATCAACATACGGGTAAATTTATTGTCACTGATATTATAGTAACACTTATTAGAAAAATGGCTCTCCTAACTATAATTCTTTCACTATGATGATTATAATTATAAATGCCGAATATTTTTCTCTCAGTACACTGAGAAAAAATATTCAAAAAATAAAAAAAATATTAATTCGATGAATACTAATAATATATTTACTTATACTTATATATATTTTTTTGCACTGAGTAGAAACTTTTCTTTCAGATGAAAGGAAATATACATTTTCTTAAATTTATAGCTTTTCATGTGAAAACAATTGTTTATTCTGTTTAAACAAATAAATTTATATTTAAATAAATATGTTATTAGTACTCACCAAATAAATTCTTTTTTAGATGTTTTTTCTATCAGTGCAGAAGATAATAACGAGATAATAACGAATAAATAGTTA